TCTATGGAGGCCTCTTCAACACTACGGCGTTCCTAAGAAAATAGTCAATATCATACGGAACCCCTATGATGAGGTAAACTGCCAAATCGTCCACGGAGGACAACTCACCGACTCGTTTGAAGTAAAGACCGGTGTTAGACAAGGTTGCTTACTCTCACCCTTTCTCTTTCTCCTGGCGATTGACTGGATCATGAAGGCGTCAACATCTGTAGGAAATCACGGGATACAGTGGACAGGCAGGATGAAGCTTGACGATTTAGACTTCGCAGATGATTTGGTTCTTCTATCACACATGCAACAACAAATGCAAAAGACGGCCAGTTTAAAAGCAGCCTCAGCAGCAGTAGGTCTCAATATAAACAAAGGGAAAAGCAAGACTCTCCGATACAATACAACATGAACCAATCAAATTACACCCGACGGAGAAACTTTGGAGGATGTGGAAACCTTTACATATCTGGGCAGCATCATTGATAAACACGGTGGATCAGATGCAGATGTGAAGACGCGGATCGGCAAAACAACGGCATATTTACAACTGAAGAACATCTGGAGCTCAAAACAATCGTCGACCAACACCAAGATCAGAATTTTTAATACAAATATCAAGACAGTTCTACTGTATGGGGAGGAAACCTGGAGAACTACGAAAGCCATCATTCAGAAGTTACAGGTATTTATTAACAGTTGTCTACGCAAGATACTTCGGATCAGATGGCCAGACACTATCAGCAACAAGTTATTGTGAGAGACAACAAACCAGATTCCAGCGGAAGCAGAAATCAGGAAGAGGCGCTGGGAGTGGATTGGGCACACATTGAGGAAATCACCCAATTGCGTTACAAGACAAGCCCTCACATGGAATCCTGAAGGCCAAAGGAGAAGAGGAAGACCAAAGAACACATTACGCCGAGAAATAGAGACAGACGAGAAGAATGAACAAAAACTGGATAGAACTAGAAAGGAAGGCCCAGGACAGAGTGGGTTGGAGAATGCTGGTCAGCGGCCTATGCTCCATTGGGAGTAACAGGCGTAAGTAAGTAAGTAATACCCCTGCCAATGGGCTCAATTTCGTACGACGTAATTTTTAAAGTTCTGGAAAATCCTATACTAAGAAATATCATTCTTTAAAGATTTTCCGTCAAAAACCAATTTATGATGTACTCAGTCGTCTTGGTAAATTCTGTTAGTGCTCCCACAGTTGATATATAAGACATCGTACACTGTATACGACTTATTTGATTCATTATGTCAGTGTTTTGCGGTCAAAGATATAAAAATGGATCATGTGATCTTAATAATGTCATATAGCGTTGAAAACTAACGATTTCTATTTCTTTGGCTTTGTGAGAGCATTCCTTATAAATGAGTTGAACAAATTGTTGTCACTAACTCATAACTGCTCTTCATTCACATGAATATAAAACAGAATAATTAGTGAACTTTCTTTTTCAAAGGTTGGTACTAACAGGAATAACAAACACTATTGCGTTTTCCGTATTTCTAATTAGTCTTCTTTCACTCCCAATTTCCGGGATTACTATACAGTCAAACAAGAGCAGTCACTGTAATCATGAAATATACTGAAGGAATTAACTGAGGTTAACAAAAAACGGCAGAAGTACTTAGTAACATTGATAACGATAGAATATTAAAATTAACTCATTATCTTATAAACACTTTCAACTGATAACCAGTCTCTCTATCAGTCAAAAGTATTTCGTTACATCAGTATTAAAAAGTGTCACAGTTTATTATTACAAAGGATTTAATCAGTTCTCCAACACTTATTCTCAGTTCTACTTTCTAAATATTATACAAATATCATCACATAAACTCATTCATCTGAATGACAATATAAATTCTGATTGTAGATGTCTTTCTGAATTTACCTCCAACTTTTCATAGACAGCTCCATTGAATGAAATCATCACATACAAAATCTTCATTAATACAATTTGTGAAGCATTTGAAAGATCTAGTCTTAGTATTACCATGATTGTCCTAATTTTGATACGAAGATATGTTACATGGAACTCATTATCTATATTAGCGTTTCTGATTTTCCAGCTCGTCTAACATTAATCTATGGGCCATGACTAAAGTAGCCTTTCATGAGTTGACTATAAATCAAGTAAATTAAAATTGTTTGGTATCTGTTATGAACAACATACAAAGCAGACTGAAAGCATTCGCTAAATGTCATTCGATAAGCAGCATCTGATTTGCTGTTAATTTTATTGCCTAATTTTCCAAATAATTTAATACGTACTGAGCAACGAGTAGAGCTATTTCTACTGAAATTCTCATGTGATGCAAAAAAATAATCATTCATATTTGAATTACGCAAAAGAAAAAAGAATTGTTAAAAATAATTGTGTTGATCACAATTGACTAATCTCTGTACCGAACATTTACATCAGTCTCTAGGATCTATTGATCATTATGTTGTTGCTTCTGGCTAGACATTAACATTCAAATAATTTTAATTGTCGTCATGAAGAAGCTGGAGTCAATTTATTCGTCTGAAATTCATTTCGAATTCCCATTGTTGATTCAAACTTTAATAAGCTTATCGAAAATTATTCGATATTGTGAGTAGTGAGCCTGTCGATTATCCGGTGTGTTTATTCCTAATGATCCAAGAGTCCTCATTGATCTGAACGATTTCAAATCAACATGACTGCATATCTTCTATTATTGTATGATAAACAATATAAGTATGAAGTTAAAATCGCAACCATTTACCTTTTTAATAGTTTCAAATAAACTGATTAATGGATAGAATATTAATAATAAATATGCTTTTGTCATATCCCAATGAGTAGAAAATTGTATTTCTGACGTTTCGTGACTTATTTACTTTGAAGAAGTGACCTGTATTAGGTCACAAAACGTCAGAAATACAATTTTCTACTCATTGGATTATAACAAAAATATATTTATTATCTACCTTTTCAGTGAAAGTTCTTTCACAAAATATTAACTATAGCTTATCGTTAGAATTGTAATGATTTACAAAATATCGAGTAGTATAGTGTTATGTCCCGAAGAGAATGATGAATGATAACTTTTGAGAACCGTTTACAGATAATACAATAAATATATTTTTGTTTTATCATTATAAAGTAGCTAAACTATGCATATTCATATTCCTCTTATTATGAGCTTCATTTTGACCTATAGATTATTATTATACGACATATCGTTCATGAGTTATATCCAGTCTATTAATTACAGTCTCCCTTATTCACAACCATTTTTGACTAGATATTGTACAAATGTTGTTTTCCATTTCGTGGCGCAATGTAGTCTGTTTGGTCAGTATATAAACCCAGTATGTTTGAAATACATGATACATATCACGGAGGCTGTGATTGGTATTCTGGACTTACCAGAACTGATAAGGACTCTAGACTGCTCGTACGGGTTTATGTGTCACTGGTCCGGTCGATAATTCACTGTTCTCTAATTGGCGTTATTATCACGTCATGTATTGATAGGTACAACATATCGTTTATCTCAGGCTACATTTTACCAAACAGTTATCTTTGCTTCAACAGGGTCTACATATGATGACTGTTAACAGTTTGTAAGTAATAACACAAGGATTTCTTTTTTTCTATTTCTCAAAATTTATCACATTGTTAAAAAATTACTTGAAAACATTGTTTCGAATTTACTTAGTATTCTTTGTTTGAATCTTCACATTGTTGTTTAGGACTGCGATTCATCAGTCTCTTATTGGCATATGTACATACTGTGCGTATTGCCTCGATATAGCCTAATTCACAAGCATGGTAAGCAAAGATGGATAGTGGCTAGCAGTGGAATCCAGTTTGACGCGCGTTTCGTCCTATGCAGGTACATCCAGCTGACGAGTCCAAAATGCCTGGATTCCACTGCTAGCCACTATCCATCTTTGCTTATTGTTTCAAATTGTTTCCCATAATATCATTGTGTTAACCTTTAATTTCATGTACATACAACACAACTAATTAGCTACTAACAGCTGTATAAACAAAAATGTTTATACCTTATAAAAGATCTAACAACAAAGTGACTTTCTACTTATTACTAAATAAACAACAATTTCATAATAATGAGTATACTTTCAACTAATAATATGATACTAATTTTAATCGTTTTACAAATGACTCCAATATGTAATAAATGCATAATAACTACCCCCCCCCCGCTCTCATTTTAAAAAAAATCTTAACATGAATCAACTTTTATGCTCAAACAAAGTGATTTTTTAAGAAAAGTTGAAACTCACAATTTACAAATAAATTATTTTAATTTTTTTATATCAGTTTCTTAACTATAGTTGAAAACATGAGTCAGTTGAAGCTAGACCACCAAGGAAAACCTGGAAGCACTCAACGGCCTTTTCGTCCTATTGTTGGACTCTTCAGTAGTGCGCACCCCTGACCTCACCTTGCCAGATTCAAACCCAGGATCTACCAGTGTTGCACCAGAGCACTTAACCGATAGACCACTGAGTTTCAAATGACTGCTGCTTTCAACTATGAAAATACTAAATCTCCACAAAAAAATTCATTAATCATCAAAATAGACTATATTTGTTTATCTATAAAAAGAAATATTGATACAAAAATTTTATTGGTGAATTCATTTACATTTTATGACTGTATTCCTGGAAACTTATACTTCATGTAATACCATTACGTCATCTATTAAATTTTACCCTAACCCCCCCCTCCAAAAAAACATACCTCCTTTTCATGTTGTAAAACTATAAAATACCTTTGAGTTCTAATTGCATACATACACATATATATAAAATAGTTAAATTATAAAAATGATATTTTATTAGAAAATTAATATGAGTTTTCAAAAAGTGTGCTCAAAAACGCTATGACTATTGATTTTATAATTATTTTTCTAAAGTTGACCAATCAATGATTCGTTTGAATTTGATTGGTCAGTATAGATTTACTTATATTTATATTATGAATTATTTTAAAGATACTTTCATATTTATTTCTAGTTATTGTTTTAGTGTAATTATTGAAATTGACTATTAACTGGATTTATAATTTAAAATATTAATGTAATCTATACTCTTTTCATATCAGTTACGTAATCGGATACATTCACTACCAAGTTATTCTTTTAAGTAAGTTTACAATTATTGATTAGGTGTATCAATACCTACTTAGTAACAAGAATAATATTTCGTATGTATATATCATACAGATACATTTGCTACATTTTTACATTGTTGAAAAAGAACTTTAGTTCTTGATAAATTCCAATTTTATTTTGTCATCGAATTATGGGCTACTTTTTAATCAAAATGTTTAAAAATCTTAACTTTCGACTGACAAACTCTTGTAATACAATCATTTTAATCTTTATACAAAATATCCAGACAAATAGTTATGTATAAGAACACATCTAAAAGTATCTGAAGATACTGTTTAAGCAATCCAGGATAATTCTTAGCTTTTGTGAAAGACTCATTAATTTCTAGTTCAATAAAATTAAAATATCGATTTATGTTATTATTAGTTATATATAATCTCCAACTAATCTCTATCTCTGTAGCTTATATTCCCTATACATATTCAGTATTGCTTATAAAATTATCGGATAAATGACAAATGACATGGGAGTTCTTTATCGACCTAATGAAGAGGTGATTTTCTATGTTGAGATTTAAATTTTATTAAATTGTTATCATTAGACATTTTTTACCATATGTTCCCATTAGGATTGTATTATTTACAGAAGATACTAAACACGTTGCGTGTGGTTTGCTTTTTTTATGTATTCTTTCTCAAAATGTAATCAACATACCCCCAGAATGATAATAATATTTATTATTCATAATGTGTAGGTGTTCTGTCATATACGTAAAACATTTGTCATGTTGAAAAAGAACTACAGAAGAAGAAAGCGCTTTCCAATTACTTCTCATTTTCTGTATAGGAAGATATATATATTCTACAGGACTGAGATTTCAGCTTTAAAGACTAAAAAAAGATCTATACATATATAATCTTGAGTACACTTCTAATTTATCAGTTAATATACCCTTCTACAATTATCCTGATTTATTTTTATCGAACCCTAATTTCCATGTTGTTTCAAGTATAAGTAGTGATAGAATTTCTACAAAATAATTTCAGTTAAATGTTAATGAAATCATTTTCGTCATAGGATTCAATGGTCGAATTCATATATATTTACTATAGTCTGAGTTACACGTATTATGTTGATGTCCAAAGATAATATTAGACCATTCTATCTGAAGTTACTTAAGATGTAGAATCAATCATTTTATGACATAAGATTTGAAGTTTGAGAACTTAAATTACCAAACCAAACCATTTTATCAATGCTGAAATTGATCGTAAATAAAATCTTGGTGAATGTATCCTATTTAAAACTTAAATTCATTTAGTGTTTAAAAATCCCCATAGATAATTCAAAAATGAACAATATTTGAGCGAACAATTGTTTTTAATAACTTCATCATCAGGCTCTACAGTTATAAGTCCTCATAATTATTGTGATATTTTACAAAGTCCAAAATGAGGCATGTATTAATTAATTTGACAATGTTATATGTTAAAAATGGTAAACGTTTGCATCTGCTATTACAACATATATCCTTTAAAATTGTGTTATTTGTAAATTAGAAAGGTCATTTAATAATAAAGGTCAAAGTGATTTGTAATCAAGTGTCTAGTCACAATTAATATAATAGTAATTTCGAAAAAATGAAAATGCAAAAAATTGTGTGAATAAAGTGCATAGTAGGAGAATTTCATCTTGTCAATTGAGATAATAATGATAAATAGTAATGGTAATAATAATAAGATTGTTGTGCGAATATAATACGTAATAAAAGGGGGATGTTATCAAGATAATTACGATAAAGGAATTGGGAATGATGGATGTGAAGATTAAGATAGAGGTGATCAACAAAGAAAAAAAGGGAGGTTTATAATATTTAGTTTAGGAAACCGGTGATCCAGTCGTAGGCCAAGGTAAACATAGTGGCTGGATATACTTTTTTTGGATGCATAAGTTTGGTTTTCTAGAGTTGATCCAGATGGCTTCGGATATGTAAAGTAATCGTAATCTAGCTCTTTGAGGTAGAGTTTTCGGAACTTGATATAAAACAGAGAAGGCTTCTTCTATTTTGATATGATGTTCACTGTCTACCAAGTGAGAAAGGATGGCGCTGTTAATGGATTTAGTGACTCCTTTTCCCAACCATGCTGGTACATGTTCACGAATACGCAAGGATAAAGCCCTCTGAGTACGGCCTATGTAACTAGCTCCACAGGAGCAGTTGAATTGGTATACACACATGGAAGAGCCCATTTTCGGTAACTTATCCTTGATTAATTGTGTGAGTACTGGTTTAGTTGAGAAAGTGACGTGTAGCTTAGCGGCGTAAAATGTCCTTTCAACCGATCTTTTCAGTCGGCGTGTTAGAATATCACTCGTATGTCACCTTTGAAGTCCAGTTTCAAATACAAAGTTTTTTTACTCACTGTTTCACAATTTCTTCTTATTTTAACAGTACCTTCTACTAGGTATTTCTTAACGAACTTATCCGGGTAGCCATTCCTTCGCAATGTATTTTTCAGTATATCTATTTCACTCTCAACAGTGTCCTCAGAACATAATAGCTTGATTCTGTGACTGAGACATTTAACCAAATTTATTTTATACTGAAGAGGAGTGAAGCTTTGGAAATGGGTATACTGACCCGTCCATGTATTCTTTCTAAATATATTTCGTTTAATGGAACCATCTCTCTTTCTAGAAAGTAGGACGTCGAGGAAAGCTATACTATTGTCTTTCTCTTCTTCGCTGGTGAATTGAATAGCTGAGTGGACGTTATTGAAAAAGTCTAACATCTCCTGTTTCTCAACCATTTCATCGCATACGATTAGTGTGTCATCTATGTATCGACAGTAGTAGACTAGCTTACTTAAGGTGTCTTTTAACGGTCCATTTTCCAGTTTGGCCAGAAAAATGACAGCAAGGATCGGGCCTAGTGGTGATCCAATTGCTACTCCATCTACTTGTCTGTAAAATTCATTGTTAAACTTAAAGTTGATATTCATAGTACATTTTGGACTTTGTAAAATATTATAATTCTGGACTTATAACTGTAGAGCCTGATGATGAAGTTATTGAAAACAATTGTTCGCTCAAATATTGTTCATTTAGTGTTGTTTGTTTGAATCTTCCCATCGATTTATTAGGACTGCAACTGGTCAGTCTCTAATTGGTATATGTGCATACTGTGCGTATTGCCTCGATATAGCCTTAATTCACAAGCATGGTAAGCAAAGGTAGACAGTGGCTAGCAGTGGAATCCAGTTTGACGCGCGTTTCGTCCTATTTGGGACTCGTCAGTTGGATGTACCTGCATCTGAGTTGATGTTCACTCTGGGACTCGAACCCAGTACCTTTCTCTTCAAACGCCATCGCGTTATCAGGACTCAGTGGCCGAGTGGATAACGCGATGGCGTTTGAAGAGAAAGGTACTGGGTTCGAGTCCCATAGTGAACATCAACTCTGAGATGCAGGTAAATCCATCTGACGAGTCCCAAATAGGACGAAACGCGCGTCCTGGAATCCACTGCTAGCCACCATCTATCTCTGCTTATTTAAAACTTAGTTTTTTAGTCAAACTGTATTGTATGATGTACTATCTGTATAGAACCTTGAGAAAAAATCAATATTGATAAAAATGTATGCACAAAAAAAACAGCCGTGTAAAGTGATATTATGATTCTATTGTCAATCACTTAACTTGAAGTACATTTTATGTGCCCCGGACTCATATGTTATTATTTTGTAAAGCTTAACTAATTAGGGACTATAATCGCTAACTTAAAATTAGAAGACTTACCCATTTAGGTATTTACATAATAATTTGTAATTTTTAGCTCATATATTAGTGGTTAGTATTCGACTACTAACAAAGTTGAATTTGATACTGAAGCCCAATAACTAATGGTTAAGTTCTTAAATTGGATCAGCAATTTAATGACAGTTGATTAGATTTCCTGATCAGGTTACTATGAGGTGAAAATATACATCGTTTATTTTATAAGGTCACCATCGCATAGACGAAGAACAAAGATAATAAAAAGTTGGTATATTTGCACTATTAATATTTATAATTTATTTCTATTACCGACTGATATCAAATATTGTATCACTGAAAACCTAGAAGTATTTGTCAAGATGGAGTGGACTAGTGACAATTTAATATTTTGTAAGCCATTCCATCCGAGTTATAAAGAATAATACAATATATTTATCTGGTTTTCCTAACCTTTGAATTAATAGATTGAGTCACAAGTGGGAATTTTGTGTGAACTATTTAGATATCCAACATGTTATCGAAACATCAAAGTATCATCAAAGTTCTCTGGAAGTAGGATGTAGGCACATTTCCATCAGAATACTGTTATATAGATAAACACTTTTGAACTTATTATAGCATATAGATTAACCGTCACTCGACTCATTATAAATGGGATCAGTTTGAAGAAAATGTAATAAATAGGAGTATTTGAATCAAAGTATAAGAATCTCAGAAATAACGCAATCTAATGAAGAAATACTAGATTAACACGAACCAATGTATTGTATTTGAAATACAAATTCAAGCAGTCATCAAATACCAATAAATCATTGGTTCACACAAAAAGATCCCAGTAAATCATGACAAGATTAGAAAAAATTTGCTTCTTCTTAGTTTGAGACACACTCTACATATTACATTCAAAATTGATCTGTTTTAAAGAATTACTTCATTTCCAAACAATTCTTAATGTCAGAAGAGGTTTTTGTGGAGATTTAGTATTTTCATAGTTGAAAGCGTGAGCCAATTGAAGCTAGACCACCATGGAAAACCTGGAAGCACTGGATGGCCGTTTCGTCCTATTGTGGGACTCCTCAGTAGTGCGCATCCACGACCTCGCCTCGTGAGGAGTCCGACAATAGGACGAAATGGCTGTCCAGTGCTTCCAGGTTTTCCCTAGTAATTTAGCTTCAATTGACTCACGCTCTCAACTATGTAAGTTCTTAATGTATTAATCAGTAAAATTTGTAATCTATGTAATCAGATAGTAGATT